TGCTAAGGGTTTTCGGCATCTTGTGCTTACTTCCTTGCGTACGGACGACAGCTGCGTATTGTGACTTAATATATTTTCTGGTGCTTTCACTTCCGGAGACAGTTGTAAGCACTGTGTAACTGCCTCGAAGGTGCTTGACCATTTTAACACAGCGTGGTGCGATCATCCCCCTTGCGCGGAGTGAGGGTTCTCGACCCCGCACAACATGATCTAGAGTAGATTTCCCTAATAAGCCCCAAAGCCAGTTAAGCCCCACTTTTTTGTAACCGTCATAACTTTCCGCCACATACATGGAACTCCATTTTATTTTTTTGAAATTTGAAAAGCACACCGTTAGCTTGCGTTTGAGCATCTGTACGCACGAATCAGCTGCGCCACTCCCGAGATACAGCGCCACAACCACCACCGTCGGCGGATACTGCAAGGTTGGCGTTTTGGCCGCTCCTTTTAATAAGGATGGTCAGGTCTAAGGTGGACCCAGAGCAGGCGCAGAAGGCCATCGAGGCTGTCCGCAGCGGCGCAATGTCTCTCCGGGCTGCTGCACAGGCCTATGGCGTGAACAAGCGCTCTCTCTCTCGCCGGCTGAGCGGTGATGTAAGCATGGATGNACGCACGAATCAGCTGCGCCACTCCCGAGATACAGCGCCACAACCACCACCGTCGGCGGATACTGCAAGGTTGGCGTTTTGGCCGCTCCTGTTGCTAAGGATGGTCAGGTCTAAGGTGGACCCAGAGCAGGCGCAGAAGGCCATCGAGGCTGTCCGCAGCGGCGCAATGTCACTCCGGGCTGCTGCACAGGCCGATGGCGTGAACAAGCGCTCTCTCTCTCGCCGGCTGAGCGGTGATGTAAGCATGGATGCAAAGCTTGGTCCAAGGACTGTGCTCACAGTCGAGGAGGAAAAATTTGTTGAAGATGCACTGCTGTACGCTGCTCGTCACTTCATCGGGATCGACCGGGCCGCGCGGCGAGAACATGTGCGCCAGCTGTGCAACGACGGTCGGGATAATCCCGTGGGATGCACCAGTCGGCCCGGGGCGATCATGGCTAGACGGCTTCTTCAAGAGGCATCCTGCGCTGTCGGAACGCAGCGCCCGCATCTACGAGGCCAACAGAATCATGAGTGACGACGAGACTCGCCTGCAGACATTCTACAAGGACTTTGGCGAGTTCGTTGACAAGGAAAAGATCCCTGCCGANGGCGAGAACATGTGCGCCAGCTGTGCAACGACGGTCGGGATAATCCCGTGGGATGCACCAGTCGGCCCGGGGCGATCATGGCTAGACGGCTTCTTCAAGAGGCATCCTGCGCTGTCGGAACGCAGCGCCCGCATCTACGAGGCCAACAGAATCATGAGTGACGACGAGGCTCGCCTGCAGACGTTCTACAAGGACTTTGGCGAGTTCGTTGACAAGGAAAAGATCCCTGCCGACACCTGTGGAACACAGATGAGACAGGTGAGGTCCATATCGAAAGGTGTTGCTGATGGATCTAAGCAGTAGGCAAGGGCTACAGCAGTGCTGTAGTGCGCGGTGCAGCTTCGCGGCAACTTGCTAGCAGCAGGCGGAGTTGTGCCGATATTTTTTTTCAGTGTGGATCGTTGGATCCGCCCTCTGCAACCCACACACCCCTGCAAGATCTATTCCACTACCGCTGTAGACTAGACTAAAACGCACGGTTGGCATGCACTACAGTAGCACATGCCCCCTCCCCTTTCCCCGGTGCTCACTGTGTTACCGTACGCTTGAAGTCACTCGAGTTATCGCAAGAGGGACGGCGGCATGAGGTGTGTGTTGGAGATGAAACAGAAACCTAGACGGGTTTGGCTGTGTGTCGCACTCTAGCGCAAGCGTGCGTGTGTTCGTGTGCGGCTGCGCCTCTTTTCTGATGTGATTATTCTCTATCGCCGACAGATGTATGGTCCGTTCGGGCAAATATCCACAATATTTTCCCCTGCACAAAGGTGCACTTTTCTCGGGGTGGGGGTACTTATTCCGAAATCTGAAAATACCGCGTAAATCGACGTTTCAAGGCGCATCTTCGTATACGGATTTTTTTTTTTTTTCGTCCTTCGCTCGATGTGTTCAGATATTCAAGAAATCTTGCTTACTTTCTGGAGGGCGGTGTTTTTTGCAGACACAAAATCTGAGACCGGATTTGGACAGCTCTCGTGATTTGCCACCGATGATTTTTTTCCGATTTCCAATTTGACAAAAAATAACGGAGTTTTGGGCAAAAAAACGGATATTGGAGGGTATTTTGCTTAGTTTCTTGGGGACAATCCAACCGTACGATTCAAAAATAAAGTGCTGCAATCGATTCCTCTCGTGATTTCCCACCGATGATTTTTTTCCGATTTCAAAAAAAAACTCGGNCAAAAAATAAAATGCTGCAATCGATTACTCTCGTGATTTCCCACAGTTGATTTTTTTCCGATTTCAAGAAAAAACTCGGGTTTCGGAGATATTTCGGGTGGTTTCACACGCCCTCGGGGAATTTTTTCCGCCACACACACACCAGAGGACACACACACACACCCTTTACGCACGCAACGAAAGACGCACACGCCCTCCGGGCACATGGGTCGCCCAAAGGGTAAGCGCAAGCTGCCAAGGAACGCCGACGGCACGATTCGGAAGGCCCCTTCGCCCCCTGCGGACCCTGCTGTAGGCAACGACTCTCCTCCCTCTT